TCACAATAAACCTATTATCCCATTTTACAGAGGTATGTGAAACCCAGATATGAAGCTATTTGCTCAAGGTCACACCGCTGATCAGTGAATGATCTAGAATTCATTCACGAGTCTCACTCCCATCTACCTCAGCATGCTAAACTGCACAACTGACCACATAAATTCAAATGGTCAGCAGAGTCTGGAATTCCATTATTATGGTATTTCAATAAGTCTACCAAGAATCTTTTCCATAAAAATGTCAGTTCATCTGGTATTTTTAGGTAGAGCAGAATTTCTATGTAAATGGATTGTGAAGAAGCCCTTCGGAGGAGTTGATTACAGTAGATATAACGAAAAAGTCGTTATATTTCATTGTGCCCATTGGGGAAATAGCTATGAATAAAGTAATTGTCTCTAAATCAATTGACAAATAGATTTACCTTGTTCGAATCCTGAATAAGACACCTAGAACACATCTGGCTAGAACAAAACATTGTTTCTAGGAAAAAGCACACAAAAATCAAATTAGAACTGCCAGAAAAGATTCCTTTGAAGTCTATCTTTTCTCATCTGAGAAAAAAATGTTAGTATTCTAGGCCCAGCTGTCTTCTGCTTGAATGACTCCACGATCTGGAACTACCTTAATTGAAGCTAGGGAAGGAAAATCCATTTCCTAAGAGGCCCGTTTATTAGAAGCAATCAGAAAGAAGAGAGAATTGCTTGAAAAAGAAGGAAAAGTTGGCAACAGACTAGATCATTCATTTGGCCCCAAAGAATGCAGTGAGGATAATTACTTTAGAGTGAACCCTCTTCGTTTTGCATGTCCCACATAGCAAACACAAAAAGCATTCTCTTAAGTGAACCAAACAGAAAGGTTATTTAGAATGTATAATTTGATCCAGAAGTTAAAAGAATCTATTTATTCTTCACAGATTTAAAAAGGGACATTACTCAGAATCTAAGTTCATTCTACCTTTTGTCTGATTTTCCTTTACTCAGGGGTTACATTTTCTCTCTTCAAGCATACTACCATTTCCCTTTTTCTTGTGTAAAGATGAAAGTCCATTCCTTTGCCTAACAATACCAAATAAATACTTCCACTGCCTTTCCATTGGATGAAATTAATACTCATTGTACTTCACTAAAATGTCTGATTTCTTCAACTGCTCTCCCTAAAAATAACTAGAATGTAGTCAGTATCAGTTGTTACCATTTACATGAATGAATGGTATCCAGAATATCTTAAACAGATATTTTGATAATACATGAGAAAAAGAAGAGGAAACTATAAGTCAAAAGCCTGAATTTCACTTCTGAATTTTACTTTTAACTACACCAATTAATTGTCATGCGACCTTAGGTATATCACACCCTTTCTGAGCCTTAATTTCCTCACTTATAAAATAAAAATAACACCAGCCCTTCTCTCCTTAGAGTTATGAAGCTCAAGAGATCAAATATGTGAAAGCAATATGAATACTGCAAAGAATACACAAATGTAAGCCATTATTTTATCTTGACAGATCTTCCTTTTTTAAAAGCTTAAGAACTTTACTCAAAATACTCCTCTCTACTTTGTCTCTAGCTTATATGACATAACAAATCACCATAACAAAATTACACTAGGTTTCAATGGGAAAATAAGTCAATCCTTTATTTAACTTGCTTTATTCTAAAACCTAAATTCAAAGGCAAACTATGGATTTATTGAAGTTTCTTCCTCCAGAGCTAAATAGAATGATTTATTTTTCCAGAAGCCTTTCTAAAAAAAAATTCTTGTTTTCTTCTTAGTCCTATTTTCTATACATTAATTATCACAGAAAAATTTAAAACTCGCAGCAACTATAGTTCATATTCTAAAAATAGATCTTGCCCATGACAAAAGTAGATGTCAGAGTTTAGATTATTATATCATACCCTAAAACTCAAAATTGTCAAATTTTAAGTTTGGAAAAGGATTATTTAATATACAGAATATTTTTAAAAAACTCTCCTAAGAAACCTACTAATGAATGTACTAGGTCACATAGAGATGAGGAAAAATATACTTTTCACTGAATATCATTTTGTATCTTTAGAAATTTGAACCATGTGCAGTTTAAATGTATACGTTTGTTACTTTACTGATTATAAACCACTGAGGGAATCCAAAGAAGCCCTCATTTTCCAGGGAAGAAAACTGAAGCCAAAGGAGATAAGCTCCTCAAGAACACACTGCTAGAGAGAGAAAAGGCTGGGACTGGAACTCAGAAACCCAGTGGAAGCTTCAGTGTTTCACCTCTCACCACAAAGCCATGTGGTAAAACAGCAAGTGCCATCTTATAAACAGTAAAAGTACTACTATAATCCTTTTCAGAACAGTGATCTTCCAGAGGTCCTGTGACTAAAATGATTATTAATATTTTCACAGAAGTTCAAAGAAAGGCAGAGATAACAATCCCATAATAAAGACTCAGTATTGAGTGAGTGAATAAGGACAGCACATCAATCAGCATGTGGATAGTGTGTCTTCACTCAGGCATAGGTGGATTTAAGCTTTAACCGGGCCAGGAAAATGTTGCAGCTTTCATTATTGCTAACAGTAAAGATGTCTGATGAGGCAGAATAGATTTAGCAGTTTTAGAAAGAGTTTATTCCTAGTGAACTTACTCAGAGGAGCTAAAGCAAAAGGAGACAACAGAAAATTCTTGTTTGAGAGAAGTCTTAACAATTCCACTGTGGAACTACACTCTCAAAATGAACTAAGGGAATGATCAAAGCCCTTTCTAGTCCTAAAATCCTCAAATAAAGTCCTCAAAAAAGCAAAGTAGCTTCAACTTCTCTGAGTAATTCAAGCATACTTTTCCTCTTGGTAAGAAGAAATGTTAACCTCTTCTTTCAAATGGGTACAAATGCAGAGCAAACAGAAAGATCTTGGAAGAAAGGAAATTTATTACAGAGATTATTCTTTCTTTTATAGATCTGCATATAGCCTTCACAATTGGAGAAATACATGCATGTTACACATTTTTATATTTGCCAAACATACTATGGTCATATATTAATCTAAGTATTTTTAAGCACTGAGTAAGTCTGTTTGCCAACAATTCGTTGATCTGATAAAACATTTAAAAAGGGAAGAACATGAGAAAGGATAACAAGCCTGGCCAAGTCATAACCTCCAGCCACTACTACTGCTCGTATTTCCAAAGAGAAATCATGGCACAGAATAAACCACAGACTAGGATTTCTTAGTCAACTCTGGGTCACAAGGTTACATCACACTGAGCAGTCTCTCTCATCACACCTTCAATTCTTGATCAGGAACAAAAGGCCAGAAAGAGCTCAAATTCCAGCACTGTCATCCCCAGGGGATCTATAATATCAAATGCCTAGCCTCGACAAAAGCCTTCAGAGAGTTGTTTCAAATTCCATTCCAAATTTTCAATAAATATTTCAGATATCGGAAAAATATTTGAAATTTATTTGTTAATAATTTTTTACTTTGTTAAAAATGACTCTGCTTCATGGTGAAATAGTCACATAATTCAAAGAAGAAAAAGAATCACAAGAAACTTACAAGTCATATGTGTACTTTACTTTGAAAGGTATTAATGCCAAAGACTCTATCAACGTATTTCATGAAAAACATTAAACACAACCTAGAGCCAAAAAGGAGACATTCCATTCCCTCTCAACAACAGATGACTTAAACAGTAATAGAGGATGCGCTAATATTACCTAGGGCAAGAGAAACATTTGGTGATTCACACATTCTCCTTTGATGCCAATTTCTAAATTAAAGAGCTGGTTTCTTTGGGAGAAAAAAGAGAGAAAAAACTTTTTAAAATTATCCCTTTAAACTTCAGGTCCAGTGAATTAACCGTTCTCAATTTCAAAGTCAATTCCATTTTTTCCCCAATAATCATGAGTCATCTGGTATCCATGAAATTTATTGCCTTAAATTCATTCAATTAAGATTTATTAAATCTGAACGACTGAATACGATCTGAATTCAACTAAGCCGCTCAATTTTAACTTTACATCCTCCTTGCATCTCCATATTTATACCTGTAAATGTAGATTTCTCTCTAGACTTGAAAAAAAGTGCAGTGAATAAACTACACAGAGCGCAGTTATCGCCTAAATAAAACCTGATGGAAGAGAGAAATGAGTGTTCATCCCAATGCCTCCTTCGTGACATTTTTAAATTATTTCAAATCGCTTAAATATCTACTAATTCTAAACATAAGACTAAGTCCTTACATGCTAAACCTTTATTTGCCGTGGTGATGAAATAAAAAGGGAATACAGTTGGTGTATGTGATTTAAATCTTCAGACAATGCCAAAGTTTTAAACCAATGATTTCACGCTGCTCCCCATTAACTTTTCAATAACCTGGAAAACTAGAAATTGACAGGCTGAGGTTGCGGACAGTTTTATTTTGGGGGAGTCACAAAAAAAGGGATATAGCAGAGAAAGAGGAGCACAGACGAGGCGTATGGTACGTTGCAAATAAGACAGCCAACCAGGAATAAGATTACTATAAAGCATATAAAAGCAAATAGTTTTGCATTTTCAGCCCTCGGACTCTGTTCCAGAATTCAGCACTGCCAAAAGCAGTTGCATTAGAGCAAATTATTAAATATCACCCACAATCTTCTTCGACTTCCCCAGGAAAGACTTCATCCAATCTGTTATGACACTCCTAGGCAGTCCGTGAGAAGCAGGGCTAACGCATTTTGAGAAACCGAGGCCCACAGAGGGCAAGGCGAACTCGCAACGAAAATTCCAAGAGTTTTCCAAGCATGGACTGAACACCAAGTCCCTGCTTTCGGTGCAGGCTGCGGAGCCGCCACTCTCCACCTCTCCCCTCGGAAAAGGGGGTCCTCCACCGCGGAGGGGAGAGGGGGCTCCATATCAATCACTCGGACCTGAGCCCAGCTCCCTCTCCTTCAGCTCCCAGTGAGGACCGCCACTGTCTCGCTTCGGCCCTCCGCCCCGCTCAAGACGAGACCAGCCACCACCTCTCTCTGACCTGTCCCCGCGGGGTCCGAGTCGGCAGCGTGACGCCTCCATCCTCGCGGCTGAGAAAGTGGCCACCACGTACAGACCCCACCACTCCGCTGCTAGGGTGGCAAGCCTGGCGGGCAGCCGGGCCCCGCCCCCTAGCAACCGAACTGCGCACTGTCGCCACCGCCTATTGGTCCACGGGCCCGCCGCTCCTCTTTCATTGGCTCTTGCTGCCGCCCGGCGTTGCGGGAGGGTATCTAAGGGGCGGAGGAACCGGGAGTTAAAGGCGCCTGCGCGAGAGCGGGGATGACGCACCAGGGCTGGGTCCTTGGAGCTCTTTCTCGGGAGGGAGAATGTGTTCCCATCAGCCGCGCTGGCTACCGGGGGGCGGGAAGGCCAGTCTGTGAGAAGAGCCGCCTATCCCTCCACCAACCGCCAAACACGGAGCGGCCTACCTGCACTTCCGCCGCTTGTACACAGAAACCACCCAGAGCGCTTCCCGAGGTCTGTAACATTAGGATTTACAGACCTCTGCCGGCTCCCTCACAATCCGACCTTTCCCTGACCCCAGAGCCTAACGGAACCACACTTGTAGCCTCTCCAACAGTCATTCCCAATGAAAATGCTGCTCTCTCACTCCAACTGCACAGAACTCCTTCAACCTCCCGACTCCAGCCCAAATTTTAGAGTATTCCTAGACCTGCTCTACGGACTGTCCTAAGAATCTTTACCATTTACCTGTCTCTCTACAGCCTATGGAGCATCTTCAAGTATCCAAATACCTTAAGGAAATCCACTCTCTAGATCTGTACTCTAGTTTCCAATAAATCTTGTCCTTAACCATCACTTCCTTTGTCACTACCAATTTCTGTGTAGTATTATAGTCCCTACAAAACGTCCTAACAAAAGTTATTGCACATTGAGTTTAGTTTATGGCATTCTGAGGTCAAAGTTGTTTCACGTTGGTTTTGAATGTCTAAGAGGCCTAAAAGTTAGCACAAGCCAGAACAGAGCATTGCACTCGCTGGGTAAGCTTCCACTCATTGTGCGACCCTGAACATGGTTCATTACCTGTGCTTCAAATTCCCATCTACATAACAAACAGAATAGTCCTTGCTTGTCTAGCTGCGGCTGACAGAGTAGATTCTCAAAGCTGAATGAATGGAGTTGAATGAGATACCATTTGTATTGGTGAAAAGACAATGGAGACATTTTGTTGACTAGGCAGTCCTGCATTAATTACAATAAGAAGTTGTATTCTCTGAAAAGTTTCCACATTTATTTTCATACATTTTAAACAGTTACTCCAAGAAATCATTTTCCTACCCTATTTAACTTAGGTTGGAACTAAAAAATCAAAATACAGCAACCTAAGTAACTTATCCATGTTTCCCTTTATCTCCCCTGATACTACTGTAGTCAATAAAACAGGGCTTGCTGCCCTTTCATCATCCTGCCCTTTCAGATGAGCCCAGGTTGCACAGGCAGCAGCTCAACTATATAACGTCAGAGTTTGCTTTGATTTTTTTTTTTCCATTCAACAGGTCATAGAGGAAGCTGCCACTGAGCCCAACAGAGTTGGTACTCAAAAATGTGGAATGAATTAGTTTGAATGAGGTTATTAAAGGATTAATGAGTAGTAGTTAAAGCAATCAATCAAGAAAGAACTTTTGTGGAAGGGACAGTTTTGCTGCATTACTGGCAGTCAGAAGCAGTGTTCTTTTAAAAACTTTCTGCAACCATTTATTTACACACATTTTAAACTGTTACAAGATATTTTAAAATTTTAAACAGTTAATACAAGAAAAATATAAACTGAACTGTTTATGACACTGAAAACTGTATGTAACAAGATATTTTAAAAAGCAAATCTAGAAACTGAATTTTCTATGACTCCAGGGCTCTAGTTAAAATATCTTTTCTCTATTGATGTTATTGGTATTATTTCTATTTTATTTTCTTGATGTGTACTCTTCTATGAGCCAGAAAAGTGACTTTAGCAACTCTATGAAACCAGCAATCAGTTTCTTGAGATTACAGATGTCTGAGAAATCCAGTCAATTTTTCACAAGGAACTGGCTTTTGTTCAGCTTCCCTCTCTCTCTGAGGTAAGTAAACAGGCGCTGTCGTCTCCTCCACGTGACCTTTACCCCATACTTCTCCTCAGGAGTGTCTTTAACCAGAACAGGCTCAGACTCTGGGCTCTCGGGAGTACTAGTGTGAAGGGAGCAGCTTGGCAGGCTGTTTTCCCTCTGATTTGGGGAAATGGGCCCCTCCTTTATAAAAGATGACTCTGGGGTCTGGATGTCAGGCGCAATGAACACATAAGGTAAGTTTTGAAGTGCATGTGCTGACAGTTCCCCACAGCTTTGGGGACTGAGCACTGGAACTAAGGGCCTTCTGGAAATGTCCTTTTCAGATTGATCGGGGCACTCCCTGGTTAAGGGGATCCCAAGTGTGGCTGAACTGGAAGAAGACTGTGGACTCTCAAATGTTAGATGTGGAAACTTGGAAGTGGTAGATTTTCGACTTGAATGTCTTGCCTGGTCTCGGTGATGACGTTTCTGTTTCCGTTTGGCTGGGAAACAACTTTCTGCTGTTCTATCAAATTGAGGTGATACCTAAGGATTAAAAAAACAAAGTGAGGAGAGCCAAGTACCAAGTACAAACCTAATAGAGGAAACTACATCCAATGACCAGAGATCAGAATCCTAAATGGACCTACTACAGTAATGGACACAAAACAAAAATACTTGTCTAATAGGATAGTGATAGAAAAGGATATGAGCTTGGGCAATCTCTTCAGTCTCTCTGGTTTTCAGTTTCCTCATGTGTAAGAAAGAGGACAACGCCTCTTTTACTTTATCATGCCATACAGCTGCAACTTGTTTATCTTTAAACTTTGAGGACAGAGACCAGCAGTCTTATTCAGCATTGATCCCTAGCACCTAGCAGAGTACCTGCACAAAGAGGGCCCCTGGTAAAGAATTGAATAGCTGACTGCAAGAATAGTGAGGTCACATGGAAAGCATGTGGCATAGGACCTGGCATGTAATGAATTCTCAATAAATGTTCATTCCTCTTCTCATCCACAGGGATTCTAACATTTAAGTTTCTTCTACAATCATGAAGCAAGAATTACGGTTCTTCGAAGCAATACTAAATAAGTTATATTTATTAAGCACTCCTAAGTGGAATTTATGCTTTTGTCTGGCCCTTTTTCTATACTACTTCTCTGACATATAGTAGTTATATTTTCTTCCCAGGGCTTTTAAACTGTCAAAATATGACATATGCCATTTCTGTGGAGTTTTTTTTTGGGCGGGGGGGAGGGTCAATCTGTTAAACAGTAAGTAGAGGACCTAGCTAAATATCTCTCACATGAAACTCAGGAAACAATCTCATTTTTTATTAGTTCTGCCATTTACCTGGTCTTCTCACCCAGCTATTGGGCAGTGACACTTTTAAATTGAACTCTTTCAGAGGAATGTGTGTGGGCGGGGGAGACTCCAATTCCAACCAATCCATGACTCAATTTAAACTTACAAAATATGTACCAGAAGAGATGGCTGATGACAAAGTATTATTTCCTTTTTGTCCCTGCCCCCATGAATCTTATTCTCTGGTTCAAGGAGTGGAAGAGTCAGTATTCTGAGAAGCCTAACAGTAAAAATCAAAGTAAGAATCCATGGCCTACCCAGGAAGTGATGGTTGTGTGGTCAATGGGTTTGCTGGGCACCCTTCTGGTGTGGGTGATGGGCAGCTGTGGCGATCTATAGCGATGTTTGGAGCCCTCCAGTGGCTGTTGGTGGAACAGCAGCTGGGCTTTCTGGGACGTTTGGCGGCGTTTTTTTCTGGGAGGCATCAATATGTGAATGAAGAGTGGTTAGTAACCACATTGTGCTGGTTGTAGTCAGGTCCTGGGAGAGACTCCAGTTCCAACCCATGCCTGTGACAAGAAACAAAAGTTCTCTCTCATACTCTGCCAGCCAGTTCTACCATCAACTTACTACCCATAACTCAAGTTTGTGTGGGGCACAGCTTTCTATACTTATACCACCAAGTTAAAACATAGTAGTTCACATTCAACGTTTGTTCAGTGGACATTTATCAAGCATGTGTAAAGTGTCATGCTGGGTGCTTGGAATCTAAAGATGAATAACAATTTATTCTGTGATCATTTATTGAGTGCTAAGCAATTGTAGAAACACAGAGGTCAGACTGTCCCTGTTTCAAAGAGCTAAGAGTCTAATAGAGGCAGACAATTACAATAATGGGACAAATGCTTCCACTCACCCTAGGGTAAGCTTTCTAGAGAGAGTGACAACTGATCTAGGTATGAGGGCTAAAAAGCAGGGAGGGCACTCCAGGATGAGGAACTGCATAAACAAAGCACAGAGACATGGAGCATGTAAATTCAGGGAATCACAGACTCCATGTAGCTGGACATAGGGTATAAAAAGAAAATTCTCAAGCAAGAATCGCAGCTGGACATAGTGTCAGGGTCAGGTCAGAAAAACCAGGTGTGTCATAAGAGTTTGGACTTTAGCCTAAGTAGTCATTGTGGATTTATTTTATTATTTTTTTTTAGGTGAGGCAACCTGTGGTTGACCTCACAGATTGCAAGGACCTTGTCAGCTTACAATCCCTTATTTTTTTAGTTTTTACGCCTACAGCACCTGGTCTTCCTAATGGTCTCCCATCCAAGTACTAACCAGGCCCAACCCTGCTTAGCTTCCGAGATCAGATGGAATAGGGCTTGTTCGAGGTGGCATGGCCGTAGACTCGTTGAGGATTTTAAAGCAAAAGATATGCTTACACTTGAATTTTTTTAACTTTTTACCCCAAATAATTTTGAACATACACAAAAGTAGACTAAATAATATAATAAGCCCACATGTACCCATCGCCCAGCTCCAACGACCATCAAACCATGGTCAATCCTGACCCATCCACACCCCTAACCACGTCATCTACCTCTGTATTACTTGAAGAAAATATGATATTCCCAGTCATTATATCATTCTGTCATTCACATTAGCACAACATATATATGTAGTCCTTAATATTATCAAATATCCAGAAATGTTCAAATTTTCAATTGTCTTGTAAATGTCAAAATTGTTTGTTTTTGTCTTTTAGACAGATCATCCTGACAACAATGTAAAAGGAGAAAAGTACTGTGGAAGTAAGGGGACCAGTTTTAGGAGGTTACTGCATTACCAAAGTTAAAAATGATGAGGCCTGAACCTGGGCTGTGTCAGTGGAGATGGGAAGCTGGAGAAGAGGCAGGGTCAACAGGACCCAGAAAGTAATAAAAAGTTTGAAAAAGTATCCACTGAATCTAGTAACCAGATTGACTTTAGTAGAGCTTTGTCAATGTAATGGTGGGACAGAAGTTTGAATGCAATAGGTAGAGGTAAATGGGAGATGCAGCTGAGCGTCTTAGACCCAGAAAGACATACAACAGTGCAGATTGGTTCTGCTATACATTCATGATTCAGTCAACAACAAAAAAGTAACATACTCTGACCTGTCCTAGGCAGTGGAGATATAGATAAAAAAAAAAAAAAAAGGAGAAAGTGTCTACCCTCCTACCATTTTTAGGGCAAAAGCAGATGATAAATATACCGAATTGTTCATTCATTCATTCATTCAACAAATATTTATTGTGTGCCTCCTATATGCTAGGCACTGTTTCAGGTGCTGAAAATATATACCAGAGAACAAAATTAAATCCCTGCCCTCATGGCAGTTACATCCTCGTTGGAAGTGATAAGAAGTATGAACAAAAATCAAACAGGATAAGGAGTTGAGATATTTCAGAGTTGTCAGAGAAAGCTTATCTGGAAAAGTGATATATGAGCAAAGACCTGAATGAAGAAAAGAGAGCAAGCAAACAACAGAAAGATGTGAGCAAAGAATATTCCAGACTACAAGAATAATAAGTGCAAAAACCACAAGGTGGGAAAATGTTTGACTCATTTAAGAACCAGTAAAGTCACCATGGCTGAACTGGAGAGTGGTAGGAGATGAAAATCAGTCCATGTGACACAAGGCTTTATACATAAGGTTAAGAACTCTAGATTTAATTATTCTTAACGTGATAGGAAGCCACTGAAAGGTTCTGGATAGAGAAGTGACATAATCTGATTTATATTTTTAAAAAATAACGAGGTATTTTGTGAGAAAAGGTGGGTTGCGGGGAGGGAAGATGGGAAAGGAAGCAAGAACCCAGCTAAAAGGCTATACTTCAGGACTCCAGTGAAGCGATGACAGTGGTAGCAATGGCTACAGTGAGAAGAGTTGAAATTAACCAGCCTCAAACGAACACTACGTTGTGCAGCAATCCTACTGTTTTCATGATCAACTCATTTCTCACAAAGATTCTCTTAAAACGTTTCTACTTTCTTAAAACTTTAGAAGTCTCCTTCTCTGTTGACAAATGACCTTATTTCCTATTTCACAAATACAAGAGATATCAAAGAAAATACATTTTCCAGAATTCAAACATGAAACCTGCATATACCCATATCCATCTTCATTCTTTCTTCTGCAATTAGAGGTCAGTCCCTTTTGATATCTAAGGCCTTTCCCTCTGGCTGTGCTTTGAAGCCTTTCCCACTCTCTACACCTTTCTTAGGCAATTATCTGCTCACATTTCAATAACCATCTAGATGTAGATGACTTAAGTATTTATATATTTATCTATGAATTCTCCACACAGGACCTATATATCACACTGCTTACTTGACAGCAACTAGATACTTTAAATGCACTTCAAACTCAACATGTGTAATACTGGATTCATGATCATTTCCCCTGCACCCCCACCACAAAAGTGACTATCTTCCAGGGCCCTTGCTCAGGGAATGATATCTGTCATTCATTTAGTTATTCAGCCAGAAACTTTGACATTTGTTTCCCCACTCCCATCTGACCCAACAAGCTGTCAATTTTACCTCTTAAATATGTCTTCGATAATGTCCCTTTCTTCACTCTCTGCTTTTTCCCACTCCCCCCACCCCCGCCCCGCGCAGAGAGACCTTTTAAAAATGCAAATCTGATCTTGACTCACTTCTGCTTAAAATTTTTGAGTTTTAGATAAGAACCAACTCCTCAGTTATGACTAAAGTCCTGCTTCCTCAGGTTCCAGCTTCATCTCACACCACACTCCATTCAGTTCTCTTAGCTCAAACTCCCCAGAGATTCTTCAGGCTTTGTACTCACCATGGTCCCTCCTACCATACAGCCTTTCACGCCTTATCCCCTTTAAGGGTTTCCTTCCCTTCTTTGCATAAAGGCATCAGATCTCACATCAAGATTTAGTTCATCAGAAAAGCCTTTCCTGACCTACCTAAGGCAAGACTTCCTTATTGTAGATACTCAAAGTTATCACTGACCTCTAATTTATCACTTCACAACTATAATTCTCCCTTTGCTTATTTGATTCTTCGAAAACGGCTGTGCTCCCCTCTCCTCCCGTTAGACTGTAAACTCAGAGAGAACTTCTTCTGCTACTGTATCCTAGCAGGGCCTGGCACATAGTAGGTGCTCAACAAACTTTTTTGAATAAGTTAACAAAGCACTTTATTATATCTAAAAGACTGGGAGTTTTTTGTGGCGGGGGAGGGAAGTGGATGAGACAGATCAGTACTTGAAGATTTGGAGCTGAGGTAGAGTTTATGGTGTGTAATTTTTTAAAGATGCTGCCCTCAACGAGTCAGTGTAGTCGGGGAAACTAGACGATCGTTAGTTGGAGATACGCGCAGTACAAGTTCCCCCAGGAAGAAAATCGACCAAAGTGTACTTTAAAAATATAGTAAGATCCGGAGGGAGGCGGGAAGAGAGTCCCCGGGGTGATTAGGGAAGCGACTGGACCGCTCGAGGGAGAGAAGGTCGAGAGGGCCTCCCCAGGCGCCGCCGTTGCCCAAGGTCTCTAGCTGTCCCCGCTGGCCCACCACCGCC